GCGTTGTCAGCCCGAGGTTGTGTCGGCTGCACCAGAGCTCCAGCTACTCCACTTGTTGTCGGTACGCAGACTCGTCGCCATCTTTGATGAGACCGATGACCGTGGTGTCATCTGCGAACTTTATGAGTTTGACAGCTGGACTTGTTGAGGTGCAATCGTTTGTGTAGAGGGAGAAGAGCAGTGGAGAGAGGACACATCCCTGTGGGGCTCCAGTGCTAGTGGTCCGTGTTGATGATGTTGTTGCTCCCAGTCTCACCTGTTGTGTCCGTTCCGTCAGGAAGCTGAGGATCCACTGGCAGATCGTAGGGGACACACCGAGGTGGAGAAGTTTGGGGGTGAGGAATTCCGGGATGATGGTGTTGAACACAGAGCTGAAATCCACAAACAGGATCCTTGCGTAGGTCCCTGTGCTGTCGAGGTGCTCGAGGATGTAGTGTAGGCGCACCGGATTTTAATTTTTTTTTTAAATGAAGAATTTCGATTTAAAATAATGTCATAAAATTGTTTCATAGTGGTCAAGCAATGAGGAGTTCGCCCAGGGAGAATGAAAACTGTCTCAGAATAGGACCAAGAAGCATTCTGATGTTGAGATAGAAAAAAAGATATTGTTAATTCTCCATCAATGAGTAAAATTTCACCTGCTTAAAAAAACATAAAATCATTCAAAATGGATTTTCGTTATCCCGGAACTGCCTCTGAAATCTGACATTTTGAACTATACACCTGAATGTAAAAACATTATTTAAAATTCTGTTTTCGTTATCCCGCAACCAGACCATTTCTCGGGAACACTTGGCCACCTCAGGTATCCAGCCAACAGCATTTTCATTAAGATCTGATGTTACATTTCAAAATAAAAGGCCTATGAAATCAACAAGTTTGACCTCCTGGAGGTGCCGAGGAGCCATATCCTGCCTGTTTTAGATCCCTCCCTATTCCAACACAGCTGATTCTAATGATCAGCTCATCAGCAAGTGTTTTAGAGGCCTGAAACGATCATGAGCAATTGAATCAGGTGTGTTGGAATAGGGAGGGATCTAAAACAGGCAGGATATGGCTCTCGAGGAACCGGAGTTCCCTACCCCGGCGTTAAATGTTAGGCAAGCCTCTTCTCTGTCCATTTTTAAAACTCGTTTGAAGACTCATCTTTATTCTTTGGCCAATATGAGACTGGCACTGATACATTGTTTTCTGATCTCTACTGTATTTGAGTTTGTATCCATAATTTGTGTTTGAATTTACTGTTTTCACTTTCATTATTTTCTTTATTTATTTTTTTAATGTTATAAGCAGTGTGCTTTGTTATAGAGCTGTGGCTGGAGTGAAATGCGCTATTTAAATAAAGTTGTATTGCATTGCACTTTTTTTTTGTATTGTCTTTACACTTGGAGGATATGCAACTGTTTTAAGTGCAAAAGAACTTCAAAGTCAACCAGTGTCATTGTACAGAGCAACTTTGGAAGTTCCACTACACAGTACTGTAATGCCCTTGTATGTGGTCAACCATGACAGTCATTTTTTTTTTTTAATGTTATAAGCAGTGTGCTTTGTTATAGAGCTGTGGCTGGAGTGAAATGCGCTATTTAAATAAAGTTGTATTGCATTGCACTTTTTTTTTGTATTGTCTTTACACTTGGAGGATATGCAACTGTTTTAAGTGCAAAAGAACTTCAAAGTCAACCAGTGTCATTGTACAGAGCAACTTTGGAAGTTCCACTACACAGTACTGTAATGCCCTTGTATGTGGTCAACCATGACAGTCACTGATGCGCTTCAGTCGCTTTATTACCACAACAATGATACAATATAATGTAGCGCAATGTGGTAAGAGTGGTAAATTCAATTGTCTCTCCAACCCCCCATCCCAACCAATCTGTACCTCCATTTTGTTCCATATTATCCTTGAAAATATTCAGCAGTTCCTGGGCTTCTATTGCTGCTGCTGACTCCTCATTCTCTGTCTCTGAAGGCGTGTTCCTCACTATACATTCCTGGACAGTAAGTAATAGGGATGATTAAGACAGTACTATTTTTACAGTACAATATGTGATCTTGTCTAATACATGCCATTTTTTTCCTGGATATAAAGGGGAAACAAAGACAACAAATTTAGTTCAAAGTGCAGAAACACAAACCAGGTTTAAGATGGTCTCAGAGACTGTATCATTCAGCCTGATGTGATGGAGCATGTAGTGGTCACATATTTGTTGAGACACTCTAGTTTTCCCCACTGCGGGAGGACCCAGAACACACATACGGATGGGCTAGAAGGAGTACAAAATGGATAGTTTTTAAAAATGTTATTGTCAAATAGGTATGACAATGATAATTACATGTCCAACCCCAATTACAGTTAAGTTGGGAAGTTGTGTTAAAGAGAAATCATGAAGTGAAGTGAGACGAATGCTGAGCTGTGCTTGTTCAGACCTGATGTATCTGCAATCGGCATTGTAACCCGGTCAATATTATGAGAAAAATATCATCGTTTGGGAGTTTGAACGGTGTTGCATGGTGGGTTGCATGAACGACCGTGAAGCAGGGGAGATTAGTTGTTTTCCGCATGTTTCGGGCGCATAAAATATGCCAGAAAGTGCTCACAAGCCACTACTGTTGTCTATTTTTGTATACTTTTTTTTTTGTGAGTCCCATTTGACATATCTCAGTCTTTTATTTCATTAATGCTGTATTATTTCCTCCCACATTTCAAAAACATGCATGGCAGGCTGATTGAACACTCTAAATTGTCCCTTGGTGTGAGTGTGAATGCGGATGGTTGTTGGTCTCTGTGTGCCCTGCGATTGGCTGGCAACTGATTCAGGGTGTCCCCTACCTACTGCTCGAAGACAACTGGGATAGCCTCCAGCATGCCCCACGACCCTTGTGAGGATAAAGCGGATCAGAAAATGGATGGCTGGATGGACATGATAGCGTCTCACTGTTACCTTTTTCTGCTTGTAATTTTTCATGTTTCTTGTGCAGAGCGTGCCTGTTTAATCCAATTACCCCATGGGGATAAATAAAGTTTCCTGAATCTGAATTGAGCGCTCCCTCGCAGCCATTTGAAAAATCTTTAAATAGGCTGCATCATTAAATAAGCCGCAGGATTGAAAGCGTATGACAAAAGTCACAGTTTATAGTCCGGAAATTACGGTAAATGCTTTATCTTCAGCACATTTTTGTGCATCACAAAAACTTTGCATTTGAACAGGGGTGGAAAGACAGGAAGAGATAAATTATTCAATGGGCCATTTACGGCGTACACCACAGTCAATCAAATTCAGCTACATCAATGATTTTGAATTGCACTAGACCCCAACGTTCACCAAAAAAGCCGCCAAAATCCTGAAGGGGCAGTTGGCCGCTCAGTGAAGGGGGTGCGTGTGGGATTGATTTTTATTTGTTTTGGTCAATGTGTCCGTGCATCACGTACACAATGGTAACTTTTTTTCTGTGAGTTAAAATGTTATCAACCATTGTCTTTAACCATAGGGCACTTGCTTCTTATCTCCACTCTTGGCTCTGCTTCAGAAAACAGAAGCAAGCACCCTGTCATTGTGAGCACATTCCACAAAGTCAGGCGCTCGCCATTGGCTCAGAAGTACATGGGACCATCAAACTGTGTGATTTTTTTGAAAGACGGAATTGAGTGAATGAAATGTATTATTCGAGATTATCTGGGTATGTAAAGGAAAGCAACTGGCAACTGTTTTAAATCGTGAAAAAGGGCATGTGTCTCTTTTAAATCATTTCCGGTGTAGTTATTAAAGGTTTTATGATAGCAACAGTGGACTTAAACAAAATATTCCAAATATAATTGACCTCAATGAAAAATGTTTGTGTCATGGAATGGAATGTGGTCAAACTTGGAGGTCCCCTGTATGTGGATGCAGCATGTTGTACACAATAATATGTCCAATTTTTGTGCTCTCGATTTCATACATACCAGCAGTCCCCTGACCTGGCGATACTCTTCCACCACTAGTTCGATGTTCTCCACCAGACCAAACTCACACAACCAGTGGATCGAGAACAGCTCCTTGAGATGGACACCCTCCATGCAAAGGTTGACGTGCAATAAATCAATGTCCATGATCTTTTCAGAATAAGACAGATACTATTAGAAGTGGTTAAAATGTTATAGAAAAGAGCAAAGTTTCATCCATCCATCCATTTTCTACAGCAGGGATGTCAAACTCATTTTTAGAACAGGCCACATCGGAGTGACAGCTTCCCTTACAAGGTCGATAAGTCTCATCTTAGTACATAACATTCAACAAAGCTTTGTCCAAGGAAATTGCAGACGATAATGTAAGATAATCCAAATGTTACCGATTGTTATAAAATGCTTCTTGATATAATTTACCCACAAAACGTAAGTTTGGGAGCGAGGTTAGGCACGAGTGTTGTTGCAGACAGCACCTCTGTTCAGTTCATGCTTTCTGTTCTCTCTGATGTTCAATGAAGTATTTTACTCAACTGTATTTATAGAACACTTTAAAACCACCACCGCTGTATACAAATTGCTGTACATGGAGCAAATAGCATATATACAACACTAAACATGAAAACCCACAAGGTCCTGGGTTCAATCCCGGCTCTGACCTTCCTGTGTGGAGTTTGCATGTTCTTCCCGGGCCTGCGTGGGTTTTCTCCAGGTACTCTGGTTTCCTCCCACATTCCAAAAACATGCATGGCAGGCTGATTGAACACTCTAAATTGTCCCTAGGTGTGAGTGTGTGCGCAGATGGTTGTTTGTCTCTGTGTGCCCTGCGATTGGCTGGCAATCGGTTCAGGGTGTCCCCCGCCTACTGCCCGAAGACGGCTGGGATAGGCCCCAGCACGCACCGCGACCCTAGTGAGGATAAAGCGGATCAGAAAATGGATGGATGGATGGCTAAACATGAAAACAGTAAATTAATAACAAAGACAATGGAAAGCACAAAAACAGTCAAACTAAAAATCAAGTCTTGAGTCATGCTGAAAAGTGAGTTTTGAGACGAGTTTTAAAGATGGGCAGCAAGGGGCCTTGCCGAATGTTCAGTGGGAGGTCATTCCAAAGAGAGGGACCAGCAACGCAAAAGGATTGAACCCCTCTGAGCCTTTGCTTGGTCCTCAGTACCTCTAATAGTGTCTGGTCTGCAGACCTGAGGCGGAGGGCAGGTGTGTGGAGGCGGAGGGTGTGAGTTTTCTATTGAAGCAAACAAAATACTTGCAACTTACACTCAAGTCCTGTTTGAGGAAGGCCTCTTCAAATGGCTTCTTCTGGATCTTTCCCAATCCGAGTGCGCAGGCAATGGCCTGATGAAAAACAAAATGAAATATAAATTTGGCATTCATGCCCTTTCGTGCCAGTGTCTTTCAACCAAAATATAAATTACAAGCCATGGCATGAAAATCGCTGAGATGTTGATATCAAAGGCTTTATGGGCCAACCATGACTGGTATTTGATGCAAAGCTAGTAATGACTTAGTTTCACTCAAAGATGACTCGCCAACGACTCAACTCTGTTGTTCTTTGTCGCGATTTATATAATTATCATAATGCATGAAACATACTCCATAGACTAGCCTACACTGAAAAAAACGACTAGTAACATTTACTGAAAAAAAGTATTTGCACTCACTCTGAGTAAATTACACGAAGTGAGTAAATTACACTGCTCATATTTCAAGCATATCCTACTCATTGAAATAAGTAACAATTACAAGCAACTAAGGATTTTAGGTGGGAAAATATTAAGTAACTTTTACTCAACCCAATTGTGAAGTTGCACACTTTCATTTAGTAAAAAGTAATTACTGTACTCAGGTAACAAATGTTAAATAATTATGTAAATCTTAAATAAATGAAATGATGACCAATATGTAGCAAATAGGTAGTTGTAACTGAATCAAACACAACTCTTAACCCAATACATCTAAGTACTTGTTACGAAATGTGTTTCAATAAATGTGGCACTAAATATTCAATTTTCCAATGCAATGGTTTATTCATAATATCCATGCATGGCAGACATAAACATGGCATTTATATATATTATATTTATAGAAATAAAATAAATCACAAACATGGAGGCTGGGTATCTGGTAAACACAATTATCTTGGAAAGGCGACATAACTCTTTAACAAAGAAATATGTTTAAAAAAAAAAATCTCAAAATGAAATTTTATATTTCTCCCTTTTCTCATTGTGTGATTGCTCCCCGCCCCCCCCACACCGTTTGTTAATTTATTTACTATTTGAGTATTGTATAAAAATTGTATAATACCTTATGTTTTAGATGACACTACCGTATCTTCCACACTAAAAGGCGCACCTAAAACTCTTCCATTTTCTTAAAAGCTCACAGCGCGCCTTAAAATCCAGTGCGCCTTGTGTATAGTCATTACGGTAATATGTCGACCCCAAAATGGCTCCTTGCTGGAGACATGCAATAGAACACGGAAATAGAATACTGTAGCGGCAAGAGAGTTCAATGTTATAACTTGCTGTTGGTTTGGGAGGCCAGCCCCAATGAATGAAATGCTGAGCGAGGTAGCAACTGACCTGAAAGCTAAGATCATGGCGAAAATGAAGGCTGGGCAACCTAGAAACCGATTACAAGGGCTATGTGAAGTACCACCTGAAAGTCTCATGGAAACTGTGAATGCAGCACTGAAGGTGATCCCTACCGTAACGATCACGGAAACCAATGAGCTGATATACGCTTCAGCATCAGTGATCCTTGAGATGCTTGGCTATCAGAGCAACCATGGGAGCCATGAGATATGTTACCCACCATGGAAAACATGGTTGGAGGCTAAAATCAAGGCGGCTCAGAAAGATGCGAGTCAATTGTCTTATTCATGAAAGAAGACACAAATACGACATGTATTTGTCATGGTTGATTTGTTTGGGACCAACAGGTGGCTCTGTTGGGCTCCTCCTACAGCGGCACACCTGTTGGTCATCATGTCATTAGTAGGTTTTCTGTTGAAAGGACGCCCATCCCGACCACTCGGTGTCGGGTCATTGTTGCTGTTTCTGTCACTGCTTCTGTTGGTTTATGTTTATCACGTCATATTATTTGCTTTTGCTATGGGTTTTGATGTTACTTTGAATTCTTGTTGTTTTCGTGACTTTGCATGTTTTGGGATTTGTTTTTCTCAGTGTTTGATTAAAATATTTTGTCATGTTCACTCTGCTCCTCCCTCCTGCCTGCTTTTTGGGGTCATTCACCACCCCCGCCCGTGACAGTATTTACAAGACACACAAAAAATCAAAAAACATCTGGCAGCAATCTGGCCCCATACAAACACCCTTAGCTCAGTTTAAAAGCATTCAGTGTTGTACTGTCAAATGATTTTTAAATTCAATCAAAATCTTAATCTTTAGTGTTTTAAAATTAACAATATAATGCACCGAAATGTGTGCAACCTTATTTGAAGATAACGTTTGAACTACAGGTAGAAAACAGGTAAAAATAAATAACAGATGAGGGTGTGTGATGTTGCTTCATGACAACAACTTCACTCTCAGATTGTGAAGTTTAGGCGACAGCTTCACGGGGTTCAGTTCTCGCAAAGGTTTCTGAAACACCTCAAAGGTGTAGCGCAGTGGAATGGGGTGGGCCAGGTTGAGGGCATAGATCACCCCCATCAACAGCATGCAGGCTTTCGCGGTGTCACCGCGCGCAGGCAGTATCTCCCGTCCTTCTAGGAGGATGGAGACATCTGCTGAATCCTCTCCCTCAGCCCCATGAACCACCAGGATCTTGAGTGTATGCTCGGCTGCATTGCTGCGATTGTCCTGCTACATTCTATGAACAAGAAAAATAGAACCGTTTCACTCATTTGAATTAGCTGACATCTTTTTTCATTGGCACACAGTCATGAACTAATATCAAATCAGCATGTTTACCATGTTAAATAACCGGTATACAATGCATCTCGTCACCTTACAGACTATTCCAATGTGTTTGTAATGTCCATATTCAATACAAGTACCAATCACCAGTTCAGTTAGTAAGCACTGCACATGCATGTATTTCAGCTCCCCAACTTCCTGAGATGTGGGGTTGATTTTTTTCCTGTCTAATAACATGAGATTGATATTAATTCTTGTTGTGAGTGGCACACCTTTGGAATACCCATGGCACACATGATAAAGAACGTAATCCATAATATTGGACAGGGAAGGTTCAACCCCACATCCTTTTAAGAAATGCTGGAGCTGAACTACAGGAGCAATGTGGATTGAGATAAAACGCCGGGCATCGCTAGGCTACACTCAGACAAACTGACACACACAGACTGTCCAGGAGGCTCCACTTAAAAATCAGTGGGCTACCAAGATGAATTGCCATGGCCATTAAATGGCACCAAAGACTTGTAACAAGACTGGCTAAATGGCACCAATGACACATGAATGACGAGCCAGTGACATATGTCGCACCAAATGCACTTGTACCCTGTTAAAATGAAATCATGTATTACCCAGCAATCTTCAAAAGGTCCTCCGTCTCTCCCCAAGGTACAGTAAAATAGCACGCATAACTGCTTCACAATGTAGGGGGGGGGGGGAGTGGCCTTTCTCTTCCTCCGCGTGTTCGTTAATTTCGGACGATGAGGATGTTGGTTATCCAAATACAAGCTGGAGTCGATGAACATTACCTTCGAAGGGTTTATTTTATTTTTTTGCAGTTTACGAATCGATTCGGGCTCCTGAGGGTTTCAGATTTCAGTCAGGAAAGCGTAGAAAAAACACAGTCATGAGAATATATAGAGACAATATGATAATGAGAGGCGGGGAGTTACGCCTCCATGCAAATCCCGGAAACAAACAAATTAACATGTCATCTTACTCGGTGTGGCTGGAAGAAGTTGGGAGTGTTGAGGTGAGGCCAGACCACCACTACCCACTATTTTCTTCGGTCTGAGCTTTGATGTGACGGCAGCAACACAGATACTTGAGATAACAGTTCCTCTTTTGATGATTTGAGACATGTCCTCTGGAGGGGGCCCTAAAAGTGGTGGGGGTGAGAGGGCACTAAAGGTGTTTGTAAATACCTTCAACAGCATACTACATTGTTTCTTCCACCTGACAGCGAGGAATAATTCCTTAACAACATCTTACTTCAGCGCTTAGGTTCTGTTACAAGATTGATATTGTGTCAATACAATGAACTGTCAGGATGAGAACATACAGCAGTAGCATGTGCCATGATTTGCAGAGCCGTAAGTGGAATATAGGATAATACAGGCCATTAAAATTTCAGGGATATTTCACTTTAAATGATATTTTGTTCCATTCGGTGGTATGCTGTACCGAGAGGACCTTCTTCACTAAAGGCTGAACTAAGAGGATTTGACTGGCAAATACCATTTACCAAGGCTCTGATCACCGGTTCTCCAATAGTGCAACTGTTGTTCTTTAGGGTCTTTTGACAATGCTTTGAATAACAGGTGCAGATGCGGAGGAAATTATAAATTTAAGTTCCTCTACAATCTCATCTATACACCAACTGGACATATGATAGATGCAATCCATTTTAAGCAATAAGCTTGCAAGACTATCTACAATGACTTTCACTAGAATAACTTTCACTTTCATTGACTAACAAACTAGCTTCCGTTGCCTGGTTCGGAAATGCCTGAAATACAGTTTCCTTAAAATGTGTGCTTCCTACTTTTATGTGAAGCAAAAGTTGTGTATACACAAGTGGTATAGTCACACCCACTAAAAACACACTGGACATTTTTTTTTTTTTTTTTAAGATGAGTCCCGAGTTCAAAATATTTGTTCTCTGAATGAAAACAACATAAATTACAGACCAGACACGAAAAAGAAACTTCAAAGGGCACGGTTTTGGGATGATCTCGAGACAGATGTGAGTGAAGTGCACTCAAACCCTTAAAAGAACAAGGACAATCTGAGTACAGGCAGGGTAGGGACTGACATTGACTGGTGTATAAATGTTTCAGTCTCTAATGCTTTAAGAGCTGTAAACGAGTTGAAGTCTGAAAATTGCACCGCTTGCATGACCATGCCATAGCAGAGTTCAAATCAGGCAGTCTTCATCTTTTGGCCAAGTGTGTTGAAAACAAAAATGGTGTAAGTCATGTCTTACACTTACACTCACCAAAACTGATTCTAGACACAGCAAGAAACCTGTAAAAGAAGAGGGAATTATATTAAAACAATGACCTGTGTTTGAGTGGAGGGAGGAGGGGGTTATGTTGTGTATTATGAATATTGTGATGCACCTACCAAAAGAATGACTTGAGTGCACTGACCAAAACCTGCAAAGGAAGAGAA